ATAGTGGTTATCCCTTTAATCTCTTTCATAAAAAGCAACATTGGATTTCTAACCGCATATCCCACAATCCCACTGAAACATGAATTCACCATTTATTGGGAAACAATGGGATGTGAAGCCAGAGTTACCCCAACTATTCTAAAGTCTGGTTACCGCAGTCCCAACTGAGGCCAATGTTTGGAAACTGCAGTCATAGAGAGGATGGAGAGCGTATTCACCGACCTATCGTCATATTTCAGTTATTAAAAAGATATGTTTGTTTTTGGAAAATTCTGCGTGCTTGCTGAAAGTCTGGAAGGATAATTTTGCTCTTGCATTTATTCATTTATTTATTTATTTATTTATTTATTTATTTATTTATTTATTTATTTATTTATTTATTTTTATCAGTGCTTTATGTGTTTTATTTTTTATCAGTTATTTACTTCATTTTGATATTTGGTAAAAGATGGCGAATAACCTTCACAACTGAATATGTAGCAAGATTCAAAATCATAGTGGTTTTAGTCATCAAATGAAACTGCAGCACCCGGAGTGTCAGAGCCTAAGAGGTTACTGGAAATTAAGCTCTTTACTGCCAATACCAGGTGTGGTGATTATATACAGGCGAGGCTCCAGTGCTATTTGACACTCAGGGTAAATTGCGTACATCAAAGGTACAGTCTATGCTGGTATTGTGATCCATGTCTTTGCAGCTGGCTAATTAAGAGATGCATCTAAACGCCTATATGATTTTTTTTAATATCGCACAAATCCTTTTTCAATATCCCGCATTCCCATTTCCTGGATGACACACAGACATCGGGACTCTGCGTCGCAACTGAGTGTGTCGTATTGTCAACTTTGGTGTCCTGGTAATTTGAGTGACTGTCAAAGCTGGGTGATATTTGATGATAAATTTCTGGCTTATCGTCTTATCTCGCCCCATCATTTTTCCTTCTTTGATTTCTTTGAATCGCTTATCTTTCTCCTGTCACTCAGAAAAAAACCCGGATCTGCCAGTCACGCGCACACTAACTCTTTTCATCTCTCTCTCTCTCTCTCTCTCTCTCTCACACACACACACACACACACACACACACACACGTACAAGCAAACCTCTCTCTATGTTAAAAAAACTCTCCATCACCCTTCTTTATTAGAATGCAATAGACTTTCTCCAATAACCACTAATAATCCGACTAATACATCATGAAAGCTACTACATTATGATATAGTGTTAGACGGGAGGCTTTATCATTTATTTATTTGTCACAGATAGATTGGGATAAATTGTCAGCCGTGACTAATCATTTGGTCAAATAGCACTACGTATAGAAAACGTGAAAAAAAGACGCTACAAAAACAGCTCTGACTACACTATGGTGTATATTTTTTTCATCTAACGAAGGAAAACTCCCGATCACAATCAATACGTAGACAGTATTACATATGAATATTTACTTAGCTTTTGACAATGTAAATTGCTTGCTTCGTCTGCGGGTATCATCAGTGCCGCGATGAGAAGTTTAATTAACCAACCTTAGCGCTATGTTTATTCTCCTTATTGTGTCTATTTATTCTGGTCTTTTTGTAAGTAGCCTAAATCATTACAGCGTCGTCTAGACTCAGAATCCACGTTAGTTTTATTATCTTGGGTTCTCCAGTTTAATTTTTGAGATGTGCGGATAAAAAACGTGATTCAAAAATTCATTCACTGGCTAATTCGGCCTAGTTTTGTATGTTGAATGAAGAAAATTTGCATTGAAAGTCACAAGAAAAAGGACAGTTTGCATGTTTTTCTATATATTGAGCTACATGTAGATCTCTTTCGCATTCCGGGAAAAAATGTACGCAAACCTGTTTAAATTTCACCGCTATATTCTATTTTCTCGGCTATTTATTTTAGATCTTATTTCTCATACATCAGAAGCTGTCAACGCACTCGTGTGGCTAACATGACACCCTGGCATACAAGTGTGGAATATTACCCAGAGGTGTGCTCAAACCAGGACTTCTTAGGACTGAAAATTGGGCTTGCTCGCGCCATCTGGCAACCCATAAAAAGAGACACCCCATCGCGATTGATATATATTTGTATGTTTTTTTTCTTAAGTTTAAAAAGCAGATTGCCATATTAGATCGATCTAGACTTTGACGAACTTCTTTTCATTAGTCGCAATCAACTATATAGAGAGAGAGAGAGAGGGAGAGAGAGAGAGAGAGAGAGAGAGAGAGAGAGAGCGGTGACCCAAATTTAATGCATATTCACTTACACATCCAGGCTGTAATAAAGTACTACAAGTGGTGGAATTCAACATGAATTATACAACATAAATGTCACATGACTATCACATGACTGTCACGCACACCGCTTTTATAGGATCGTTTACACAGAGTGATTTTGAGTCGTTCTACTTCACTTTTTCAATTTATAAAGGTATCTTCTACAGTCAGTTTATTTCCAAATCCACGGGGAGGTAATTGTCATAAAAAAAAATAAAAATAATAATAATAATAATAATAATAATAATAATAATAATAATCCATTTAGCTCTTAATAATACATTTTTGCATTTGTCAGAATTTTACACTGACAAGTCTTAAACAAAATGCAAAGATACCACGGTACCGATGTATATATAGTACATGCGGTATAGCAAGAGCAAAGTAAGTAAAGATAAAACTTAAATTAACTTGTGAGGGAAACTTTGCGAGGAGATTTTTACAAGAAAATTCAAAGCAGAAAAGGCATGATAACAACTACAAGTAAGCATGATTTTCCTACAGATCAGTTTGCTATTGCGTGAGAACCAAACCAAGTCAAGTCGTGTTGGTAAACAGCTTCCATAACCACATTTCTTGACTTGCCGTTGTTCATGTTCTTCATGCAATAAACCACCACTCAAATAGCAGCAATTTCAATCACTTCCGGATAAAGATAAAGCCTTTTCTTCATTCGACTAGCAATCAATATTCATTTCGGGACAAAATAAAGCCTAAGAAACGGAATACAATGGGTCTGGCAGTGCTGCTTGGGGCCCGTGTCACATCGGAGGGTTAGCCAAAAAAAATTCCCAAAACTTTTAGAAGAAAATTTCGGTCTATTTTGACACAGATCCAATGAAATTTAATAATGTGCTCAATTTACGACAAGAACAAGATAACCATTGCTTCTGAACAACCCTTTGTTTTAACGTTATTTCAATGGATCAATTTTCATCTGAAGAAGACTGCTTTTTGGTTAAAAATTTGGGACCAATTTCAGAGGTATAATATTTTGTGAAACCGGCCTGTGAATGCCAACCACAAAAATAAACACAAACAAACAAAACAGTCTGACTCGATGTCCGTGTTGTTCCGGTTTCCGGGCGGTTAGACAAGCGTAAAATGTCATGTGTCTAGATACAGTCAGTGTACACGTAAATACAGAAAGATAACGACGTGTTTGTCAAACCGTCTCTTCTAGGGTGTCAATAGTGTTATTTGGTATGTTTAAATCAGTGTCAGTAAATGATTTAAACAAAATCTTGTATGTGTATTAAAATTATTGTACCACATTTTGTTTTGACTGCAATACCTAAGAGTTTTATTGATAAAGTGCCGGTAGTTATATTTTATGTCCTTTAAATGAAGATATACTGTACGCGTTCATAAATTCCTAAAGTCATGTTTTCTATGTCCTACAAAGCTGCTTCCCGTGCACGTGACATTTAAAGCGTCTCCTATTTAGTCAGTCTATCCCAATTTGTCGCCATAGCAATCCCTAATAATTTGCTTCAATTCGTGGGTAGGTAAATCACGTTGAGGATGCGTGCACTTTTTAAAAAGGCGAGTTCCGTTAGTTAGGTAAAAGTTTCACGATCCGCTTAAAGCTAACGTTTTAACACGAATGGCGCTCTTAAAGTGTATTGCGTGTGTGCAATAGACGATTATCGAGTATTTGGCACCTGCGCCTCATGGTATGTACTTTTAGAACTTCAAAAATCAATAATTGGCCTGTCTGAAAACGTAACGTGAACGCTGCCGTATTCAGTACAGTGACATTTTGGGGTTTTTGCTTTTGAACTTTTTTGGTTTGTTATGTGAGCACAGGTTTATTCAATTCAATGCCATTTCACTTGAGAACTTTTTATCCCGCTCTAACCGCATTTTTTATGTTGTCATTTTATAGTGAATGTTTTGAGGTTGTAATGATTTGTTACTGCTCATATTGTATGTATCTCATGTAAACCGCAAAAATAACGTCAGGGCGAGATCAAACTTGTGCAGGAAATTGTTTCAACTTTTATCGTCCAGATATTATGGATATAATGTAAGCTAATTAATACTAATGAATTACAGACACCTGTTTAGATAAGTTATTAGTAGTATTAATATTAGTGTTATTATCATTATCATCATCATCAATCATGGTTCATTTATTTATTTATTTATTTATTTATTTATTTATTTATTTATTTATTTATTTTTTTGATTTTACTCCAGATCAATGATGCCCGTCAAACCATATTTCCCATCTCCCCCTCTTCATTCCAGGTCTTTGCTGCTTAGAGTTGTACTGCCGTGCAAGAGAATTCTCTCTCTATGCAGCCACTTACAGGGTCACAGGAGAGTTCTCGGCATTTCTCGTCGGATGGGACGATATTATGCAAAACATCTTTCTTGTGGCGTCATGCGCACGTCAGATAAGTGTCTCTATCGACTTCCTCACTGGACTGCGAATCAGGAGTTTTTACGTGGACGACCTCGGTTGGGTGCTCGGGCACTCAGATTACCCAGACCTCCTTGCGGGCGGCATAGTGATGGCATGCACTTGGGCGCTCTGTCTGCGCATGTGTCAACTTCACAAATACTGGCATTTTGTGATGACGGCACTAGTGATGACAACTGTTGGTTTCGTCATGATTTCGGGGCTCTTTTACCTTCGAAGAAGAAATTTCCAGGGAGAGTTTTTCTTCCATGGCTCTGATGGAGTGAGTCCTTAGAAATGAGTACATGTATATCTTTAAAAGAGATAGCATCATTTTGAAAGACAATCCCTTTGTTTACGTATTTTTTGCAAAATGTTAGACACCAAAGTACCTTTCAAAAATTAAGCAGTTGTAGAAAAAACTCTAACTGTGTAACGTAGTTTTGTGCCTTTGATCATTGACAAGATGCTTACTTTTCTTTCCAAGGTTTTCATGCGAAAACAATCAAATCGTTTCAGATGCTAGCTGGGGCCGGGTATGGCTTCTTGATCTTTGCCTCAATGTTCACGAGGAGAACTTCAATGCGCCGCGTCAGCTCTGCTGGGGGTATGAAGTTTCCAACACTATTCGTTGTATTGTCTATGACGTCACTCGGCGCCATTATGACGACACTGACCAGTGTGATTGTGTCGCTGGCTGAGTTTCCTACAACCAATGGGACGTACACAACTCCATTGCTGGAGACCTATGCAAGAACCGAGAATATTGTTATCACAGATATGATCGCATCTGTTAGTTTACCACTATTGTTATTCTTGCTTGTCCATTGTCTGATCTCCGCCATTATAAGTGTGACGTCACTGACCTCGCACGGACTCCTTTGGAAGTTGTTCCTGAACAGTGAGGGGTCCTCCCGACCAACTGTGGCCGTACTCAGTTGCGGCATCGTGACGACCTTCTCCGCCATTTTGTGTCCTCTTCTCACGTTGATTCTAACGGCTGCAACTATAGAAATTGTGAATCACTTAGTGGCTTCAGTGGCCTGCCTCTACTCTAGATTTCAAATGATTGAGATCGACGACTTTGCCAAAGATGATGACGTCAATAAAACGTCACTTCCTGGCTACGGTGACACTGACGTCAACGACCAATCTGACGTCAGAGATGCAATTAAGAAAGATATAGACATAGTGAGACAAGAAATGGCCAAAGAAACCACAGCAGACGACCACACAGACGATGACAAATGTGAAGGCAGAAATCATAGAAGCCAGAAAAGGCGCAATAGAGACAGCCAATCAACGGCTGAATCGTCAGACATGGATGAAGGTCATAGTTCTGAGGAAACTGACATTGATGCAATAGTTGCTGAATACAAGGACCGAATTAAGGTGGCGGCCATTAGCGCACCAAACAGGCTCACAGGGGACAAGACCCCTACAGTGAAATCAGAGCGAAAAGTGAAACTTGCAGTGCTTGGTCTCCTTTTGTCTACAGCAGGGTTGTCTGTGTCTCTGATAACGGCGCCCTTGGGGCTCGGTGATCAGCGGTACGTCTGGCTCATTCTGTTTGCCGCTGGGTTCACAATGATCATCCTCTCAGCAACTGGTTTCATTCTCATGCAGCCGCAGGACGAGTTGGCGAGCCGAGCCATTACGTACAAAGTGCCGCAGTTCCCATGGATACCAATTATGGCGGTGGTGGTCGGGGTGCATCTTCTCGTGAGAATTCTCGAGAAGACGTGGTTATTGACAGGGATCTCGCTCGTTGTAGGTATGTTGAAAACAAACACTACTGTGACACCTGGCACAAATTATCACAGTGCAGCAGCTGAAAATGGCGACACACTAAACACATTGTATAGATGTAAAGAGAATTACATGTCAGTCAGAGTAAGACGATTGTATAGCAAAGTACAAAATATGCCTGGGAATTACAATGGATTATTGATATGGATAATGATGAATTGCACTCATAATGGTAAAAAATATGATTAATATTTCGCATGTGCATTCTAAAGGGTAAAATATTGGTGAAAAATAATGCTGTAAACTACAGAAGAGCAGAGAAACATTTTATCCTACATATATATATTACTTGCTTATAATCAACGTAGTGTGAAAGAACGGGACTCCACCCTGTCCATTTATTTATTTATTTATTTATTGCGACCCCCACCTCATTACTAGATAATACATTTGACGTGGTAAACATAAGATTACTGGTAAAGTAATTGCGATATTGCAGTTAAATTCAAAAGCGTTTAAGGATCTTTGGCCCGACAAAATGCCTTTAATTTCACCGTTGGGAGTAAAAACACTGTCCCAGCAAACGCAATTTGCTCAGAGGACCCAGGTAAAATACCATATGCTGCCCTTGAGTTTCTTTGTAAAACGCATTACTTGACTAAAATTTTGTCATCTTTTCCTAGACGTATTAAGATTTAATTCTGGTTCTCGTAAAGGTAAGTTTACGTTTATATTCTAGATTGTGTTAGGAGTGACAGCTATCATATTTTTCTCCTCCAGGGATCGTCATATATTTCACATATGGTATTCGAAACAGCGCCGAGGCACCAGCCAACTACAGCAGAGACGAGGAGGTGGTGCTGCTTGGGCCGTTTCCAAGGAAACGTGTATTGTCTGAAATTATACGTAACCACAGGAGAAGGAAACGAAAGAAAGGATCAAAAGAAAGATTAGACACTGTTTTAATTCAGTGAATAACTTTAAGCTTGTATTCAAAAGAAATCCATAAATGTACTGTTATCATCTATTAACATTATTTAAGTTAATTTAAGTTTGGAAATGGTGTTTCATGGTGAAAATATTTGGAATTTTATCGTTGATGATTTGCATATTTTTTAATGTTGTACTACTGTTTTTTTTTTTTTTTATTCACAAAAAGACAAACAAAAATACATATGTAGACACACACAAAAACACACACACACACACACACACAATAACACACACAAGACATTCATTATACATTAAGTAAACATGAAATATATGTAGATAGCCGGACTACATACAAAACAGTATATTACAAGTGATGCTGCACATAAGAAGATATGTTGTACTACTGTTAGTTATCATCTCATTTATGAAAAGAAAGAGCGACGATATATTGTGGAAAAATGCTCCATTAGAAGTGACATTTATCGTGTCATTTCCATTCATTTAGAGGGATTCATATCATTTTAAAAACTGTTCAGTCTTACCCGAATAATAGCTGTTTAGCAAAGTTCATCATCATCATCATCATTTAGAGCCTATAGTGTTCCACTGTTGGACAAAGGCCTCAGCATGCTTTTTCCATTGTTTCCTATCCTGAGCCTCAGATTTCCAGTTTGGCCAAGGTTTCTTCCTCCAAGACTTCCAGTAGTCATCTAATCCATCCCTCTATCGTTTGACCGGCCTTCCTCTTTTGCTTTGTCCATACCTTGGGGTCCATTCTGTAAGCCTGATTGTCCACCTATTGTCCTTCATTCTTTTGACATGTCCTGCCCACCTCCATTTCATTTCTTTAACTGTGAGCAGTACGTCCTTAACTTTGGTCTGTTCACGTAACCATACATTCGTTTTCCGCTCTCTTGGACTGATGTCCAACATAATGCTTTCCATCTTTCTCTGAGCTACTTGTAGCTTGTCTTCCATGGTGCCCAGGTGTCTGAACCATAGGTGATTGCCGGCTGCACACAAGCATTGAACACTTTCTTTTTCAGGCAGGTAGGAAGGTTGCTCTTGAAGATGTCATTGTGCTTCCCATATGCTGCCCATCCTGCTTTTATCCTTCGTTGGATTTCTTTCTCCAGTGTTCGATCACTAAGGCTGAACCGTTGCCCAAGGTATATATACTCTTCTACTGCTTCTATCTCTTTGGTGTTGACCTTCACTGTGCAAGAGATGGTTAGTGGTCCAAACATCACCTTTGTCTTGCTGGTGTTCATCTTTAGCCCACTTTTTGCGCTTTCATCTGCTAACGCCTGTAGCATTTCTTCAAGGTCTTTTGCATCTTCTGCTACTATTATGATGTCGTCTGCAAACCTAAGGTGATTTAGCCTGGTACCGTCTATGTTTATGCCCTTGTCCTGCCAGTCTAGATCCCTGAATATACGTTCCAATGCTGCTGTGAACAGTTTAGGAGAGATTGTATCTCCTTGGCGTACACCTTTCTTGATCCTGATCTTATTGGTGGTCTTGTGTAGTTTGACTGTTACAGAGCAAAGTTATGTAAGATAAATTCAAGAACAATTGTGTCTGTTAAGTGTACGTTTTCTATTATTTTTCAAACTTTATTTGGAAGGTACGAAACATGTTGTAGATATTGTATAAATGTTTTAATTTTTTGTTGTACTTTTTTTTCTTTTGCACATGTATTTTGAATTTTTCAGTAATATCTTTGGCATACTAGGGTCGCATTTTCATGCCAGAAACCATTCCATAAAGACATTGTTGTACGAGTCATGAAGCAATGTTAATTAATGGCATCACATCGTCTTGGTGACGGGTGGTCAATTATTACTTCACACCCCTTGATTGTATGTAAACAGAATCAAAGTGGTACTTTTATGCGCATTTTCAAGAAAAATCATTATTTAGATAAGGGGGGTTTGGGATTTGATATCCTAAGATGAAACGCGATTTTTGCAAGTGTTTCAGTTATGTTTCTGTTTTATGAGGGCAAGGAGCTCAATTCATCCTGTAATTTGACATCTTTAAAGTTCTTGCCAAATATATAAGATAAGTTTCATTTATAATTTACTCTACATATATTATCTAGTATTTGACAATATGTTATAAAAATATTACTCAATATAAACGAAACAATCACACTTTTTAATATAATTTAATAAATATTATTCTAAATTAAATCACCCTAATCCTCAACATACACAGTATGTTGTTGTTTTTTTTGTCAGACAAGCACACAGAAACCTGTAAGTTATCAACACAGATCGAGGCACTTTTGTTGGCACAATGAATAAAGTTAAGAATCCGTACCTAATTTGGAAAATGAGAATATTGCTTCTCAATTCCGAGTGAACATTTTAAGATGAAAGCCTATGTTGATTACGTCACGTGAGTGGTGACGATAGTAATAACGTCATACGTCGAATTACTTGCACAAAAGGCATAGTTGCATATTCCATATAATCTATGTGCTTTACATTCAAATTTATCTGTTCTTATTTTTGGTATGAGCTAACATCTTTTTGTTGAAACACCCAACTAGTACATTTCTTCCGTACATCATTTAAACCTTAAAAAAGTCACGCCGACCTTTTTCCTGGCGTAAAAATCAGTTTTCCCGTTTGTTTGGAAACAAGAGAACCAGAATTTTGCCGAAAAAAGCCCTTATGTATAATTCAGAGCCACGGGATTCGAATACCAACTAAAGCAAGCACAAGTTCAATCTTTTCCATCACTGTTCGCAGTACTACCGAAGGTTGTAGTTAAAATTCCCAGGCTGGGTAAGACACTTGTCTTCATACGCTGTCCCGGGGGCCGGAGAACACGCCTGCATGTCTATGGCTGAACCATCGCAAGGGGGCGCACCTAGAGAGTCCGGATTACGGCACTGTCGCATTCGGAACTGTACCCCTCTACAGCAGCTGGAGTAATCGGACCAGCTACTCCAACCATTTGAGGCTGAAACGTAAAATGCATTGCACGTAAGTAAACAAACAAACAAACAAACAAACAAACAGACTAACAAACAAACGTAAATAAACAAATAAATGCAATCACACAAATTAGACCGTGGGATTAAACTCTTCTAAAGCGCACCAAAAATATGTTCAATTAAACGTTATGGTCATACAAACAGACGAATGAAAGATTATGTGTATAAATTTACTGTAAATGATGGGTGAAAGAATACTACATGGGCCAGTTGGGCTAAGGAACAGCCCAAGTGTGACATATCCCAAAGGTCAGAGCGGTTTACCTCAGCTGGGGCAAGCTGGCTGATATGAGAACGATGATCTAACATTTGCTCACAGTAAAAATACAGTGTAAAGGAAAAACCGTTAAAATCCCATAAAGCATGTATTTTTTCTGGAGATTTCAACGTTTTTGGGTTGTATGTTTCTCGTTTTAAGTCAGTATCGTAACAAAGGTGCAGACTAGTGACTTTCCCTTATTATGAGGGCACAAAGTAGAAAACGTATTTTTAAATATTTCTATATTTAGTTTTGGATGTGGCATACCAAACTGATAATGGGCAATTGCTCAAATTTCAAGTTATAGTTGTTTTTTATAGTAGGTTGTAACGACAGTTGCTCAAATTTCAAGGTATAGTTGTTTTTTATAGTAGGTTGTAACGACAATTTGCAGCTTCTCAAGTTTGGCATTTCCTTGAATATCATCAAAGTACTTAATTAAGACTACTTACAACGTTGAACTTCATCTGTGGTCTTTGAGGGTACTGCCTGGTAGGTCGAACTTAGGGAGAGGCGGTTCGGTGTTCTGCCGTACTGTGAGGATGCGCCACCAAATATCCCTGGGTATTGATCCCCCGGGCCTCCGACCTGACCCCCAGCGGTCTCGCGTCTAACTGCTCCGTATTGTGTCCCAGGGTTGCCGTAGGGGGAGGATGAAGAGCCACCACTTGATCCCGGTCTTGTTGAAGAACCAGGGTTATAACTCCCCTGTGAGCCACCAGGGGTGTAAGTTACCCCAGGCCTTGGGGCGCCTGAGTTGCCAGGATTAGAACCGTACCTAGAGCCAGCCTGGTTTGAGGGGCCATTGGCTGGTCTTCCATTGGGTAGCGGCACTGGATTGTTTCCTTGGTACACCCCGCTGTTGCCTCCATTTCCTTGGTATCCTCCCTTTGGAGAGGCGTTAGGGGGAGGTGGTCCTTGTCCTTGGAATCTGGCGTCGTTGGGAGGAGGGGGTCCTTGTCCTTGATAACCACCGTTAGGGGGTGGGGGTCCTTGTCCTTGTCCTTGGAAACCACCGTTAGGGGGTGGGGATCCTTGTCCTTGATAACCACCGCTAGGGGGTGGGGGTCCTTGTCCTTGATAA